TTGCTTGTAAATATTTTTTGCTCCACATTTGAGAAGTACTTCTCCAAGTTCTAGGATTCTTTACTTCAGATCACCTGAGAGAAGAACACCTTAACAATTCAAGGTGTCTTCATTTTCTGACTAATCACATGTTGTTTGCGAGTGTGTATGTGTGTTCATACTTTCTTCCTGAAATATCTTCTGCTCCCTGAAATGTCTTTTTTCTTTGGTTTCAGATTCACCCAAGAACCTAATGGAAGTATTTATTGTTGTAGTGAAGGAAAATCAACCCCGCAGAAAATACTACATATTTTAAGAATTCAAAACATCTTACACATTTACAAGCCAAATGGATTTCTTATTTGCACTTTGAGTGGTTACCAGATAAGCACAGAGCTTTGACTGTGTGTAACAAAATACCCTAAAGTGAGAAGACGTGGAGTTTGGGGTAACACCGTGGAAAGTGGGTTTAAAAGAAATAAGGTTTTCTCAGTGGAATTTTTTGGGATTATGAAGAATGATCAACTATCTCCTAATTTGGATCTACAGTTACTTTGTACCATTTTAAATATCTGTATATATAATATTTTGAAATATTATATATTCTCTTCAAGAAATGAACAGTACCACAGTTTGAGCGGCTGGTGTACCTCTTTGAGTTTTGGGGTTTGTGTTTTTTGTCATTTCTTTTTCTCTCAGCAAGGAAGATATGTGCCCTTTGGAGAATTCAACGTGACACTTTCACTGGAAGGCCAGCTACAGGTGGACTCCTGGAATTTGAGGAATCATGAGGCTACTGAATCAGGAACTTCCTTCTGTTTCTACCAGATGGCCCAAGGAAGCACATCACCCTGTTTTATTGCTTTCTACCTTGTACAATACTAGCATGCAAGCTTGGCTTACATAACCATACTTTATATTCAATTGATATATAATAATAACCATTTTAACCTCTTCCAGGAAAATCCTTTTAGAAGTACTAGCTTTTCCACAGGTGAGAAAGCAAGGCTTCTTGAGGGAGCAGCTCAACCATCCTATGAAGACTGGCAGTGTTCTGGCAGAATATGGGTCCCTGCGTTAATAATAAGTTCTGTAAATACAGTGTCTTAAGGCTTTGTATAGCTGTCCTATACTGCAGAAACACCCTCTGATTCTATCCAAAGTCTGGCATCGTTAACTGCATAGTGCTGCAGTAACAAGTCTTACCATGACACCACTTTCTCTGTTTGATTTACTTTTTCCAAGAGTATCCTCATCTCTTCTGATGAGATAGGAAGACTATGAAAACAATTAGGTTTCAGTATGATCTGTGTGACCAAATGTTGGACAGCCCTATTAAAGTGGTAAATAACTTCTTTCTAAACTTGCTTGTTTTCTTTATTTGCCATTTATTTGTTTTCCAAATCAGCATTTACCAAAGTCAGAGTACACCCTGCTTAGAGACGTAAGCATTCCATCCACACACTCTCTGCTACTTTCACAGTGACCCTGTCCATTCCTAATACTTTGAAAATCACTCCTATGACTTAAGAATCCTCAGTCACCTGGAGGAAGTTCCAAGTTTCAGTACTGAGTTTCCATGGTGGCCACTTAGATGGCACATACAAGGTTCACCCCTCAATACAAATGGTGACACACCTTCTTTTCCTGAGAATCAGTTGGCTGATGCTTAGAAGAATGAAATACCTACTTAAGTTCTGATTTTCTTGAGAATAGAATAAAACTACCATATATTCCTAGCCTATCACCTTTTCTTTCATGCTGCAAATATTCCTGGTTTTCCTCTAAAACCTTTTCTCTACAATGCGAGTCATTAGGGCTTCTTATTACAATAAATCAACAACACAACAGGCCCTCTTGTCTGTACTCCTTAATGCTCTAAACTTTACATAAAATCGAGGGTTTCTTTATGTCTAGCCTCAAGTCTGGTTGAATGCATCAGTACTCTAACCAGACAGATAGACTCTACATCTTATAGACCTATAAAAGCATCCAGAGATGGAAATAGAATCTTCTCACAAATGCCTGGTCCAGACATCCTGAACACATTCCCAAGTATTTGCCAGAAGTCCAGTTCCATTATCTGTAGACTTTGGAGTAAAACTTCATTCATAAGACCAGAGAGTAATCTAGAATATGGTGTTCCAAACTGTTGAGTGAGAATAGATGTTACAAAGGAAAAAATAACTTTATGCTCAGATAGATTTGGTAAACAAAGTTAAGCGGAAATAAAGCAGAAATCTTTTCAGAGCCTCTAATACATTATTGAAGCCCTGGTGTGGTACTGTAGGATAAATACCGGACCACAAGGTCAGTTTGAACTACAAAGTTGATGGTTCAAACCTGAGCTGAAAATGACCCACTACACTTAACAACAACAATACATTTGAGGGGAGTGCAGTGGCTCTGTAGGGTAAACACTGGATGGTGAATCATAAGGTTGGCAGTTCAAACCTACTAGCCACTCCTCTGAAGAAAGATGTTGTCTCCTCCTGCAAAGGTAGCCTTGGAAACTCTATACAGGGGTGCTACAAGTTAGAACCAATTCAACAGCACTTAACAACAATACACTAGCAGGCCCTGGACATCTTGCAGAAGAAGGACTAATACATGCTCAATGTCCAGAACTTCTAAGTCAATGACAAAGAAGTCTAGGGGCCCTCGTCTGCTCATTTCCCTTCCGTTAGTACCTGCAATGGTTTCTACCGGAAGACCTGGAAAAAGTAGCAAGGTGGAAAAAAGACCACATCAGAATCAGGCAATAAACCCGTAGGACAGGACAAATATTTGGAAACGACATCAAACACAATTCATATTTTAATCAAACACAATTTGGATTAGCCCAAACTGTATGAATCACCACGTTGTATTTAAATTTAATGTGTGCCCGTGTAGAGAATCCAGCACCTTCCATCTGCCTACTGATGCTGAATATTTATGGTCTAAGAACTATATCACATATTTCTGGTAATATTCAGTTCAGTGTGGTATGACTAACTGATTTTGTGCTTGTACATCAAGTATGATGATTTATGTTAAAAGAGCAAATGAAAAAAAAAAAAAAAAATCATTCGGTGCCATTTTCATGGTAGAGATGTAAATGGGGCTTATTTCCAAAAAGAAAGGGTTCAGTGTGAGAGAGAGTTCATTTGTTGATATTTTTGTCCAATTAGACTTATCTATTAATTGATTTGGAGTCCTGGTGCGGTGTTGTGGGTTAATGTGCTGGACTGCAAGGTCGGTTTGAACTGCGAGGTTGGTAGTTCAAGCTTACCAGTCACTCCTCGAATACGCTCTACAGGGTCATTATGAGCAGGAACCAACTCAATAGCACTTAACAACAACATTCATGGATTTAGCAAACACAATGAAAATTCACTACACTTCCCTGTTTTTGCAGTATAGAATGATGAAGAGTATTTTCACTGACGTGCAATTCAACGTCACTGTCTATCAAATCGAGTGTAACTTTCCCTAAGCAATATAGTGATTTTATGGTGAAGTAGATTATGTCCCCTTGCCATTGTCACTGATATAAGAAGCTAAGGGAGAGATAAAAATTGTTTATTTGAGGTGATCCACAAAATTTATCCCCTACATGGGGTATGTACTCCTTCATGGAAGTTAAATATTATGTCATAATACAAGTTTCTCTTTAATTAAACTTGATGGTTCCATTTCAAAATGAATTTTCTTGACAAAGTGTGTCTTGTCACTTTCTAAGAATTGTCACCTTCTAAATAAAACCTTTAGTGGTGACTCAATTGTACGGCTCACGTCACCCACCCCAGCTAGTTTACAAATAGAAGGAAACAAGATCAGAGGAATCTGATGGCACAACTGGTTAAGCACCAGGCTTTCTACAAGAGAAAGACCATACAATCTGCATCTGTAAAGGTCATTGTTGTTCAATGCTATCTACTTGGTTCTGAATCATAGCGATCCTGGACAGGGGCACAGGGGTTCCAAGGAGTTTCTGATGAGTTTAAATGGCTGACCTGTGGTTCAAACCGACCTTACAGCCCAGTGCTTATCCTGCAGCACTATACCAGGACTCCTCTAGGATAACCTGTAGAGCAGTTTTACCCTGTCACATGGGACCACTGTGACTCAACTGCCCCTACAACATAACTAGGAATGTGGTAATTCAGGACTAAAGGTGACCGTGATACAATTGTGCTGGAGGAAAAGCACTGGGCCACTCACTCACCGTAAGGTTGCTGGTTCAAACCCACCCGGGAAATCCTATACATGATCATTCTGAAGTGGGACTGACTTGGTGGCACTTAATAAAAACAACACAGGCATGGTGTGTCACGGTAAGATAAGCACTGGACTGCTAACCATAAGGTCCGTGTTCACACCTACCAGCTGCTACTTGGAAATCATATGCTGTTGTTGTTGTTGTTGTTAAGTGTATCAAATATGTTCAGACTCATAGCAAACCTGCATAGGATTTCCAAGGAAGAGCTGGTTGGGTTTGAACTATCACCTCTGTGGTTCACAGTCCAGTGCTAATCCTACAGTGCCACACAAGGAGAAATCATATATAAGGCTGTTATGAGTCAGAACATGTGATAACACTTAGTAGCAACCACACACACATAGTCTAAAAGTGGTGAAACAGAATCACGGTTCCACTTGAATGTAAACTAAAGGAAATTATTCAAATCACATCCTTTACCTTACCCATCCTTCCAAACCCCCAAATCTCCTACTATTAAACAATGAGGGATTTTAGGTTTAATAGGACAGATTTTGGGTTTCCTTATAAAGTATCTCAGGAGCATATTTTTGGGTGTCACATCATGATTTCATAATTAGTCCATGAATAGTTCTCATTTTTATTTATTTATTTTTTAAGTTTGAGTCCTGGTGTGGCCCTGTAGGATAAGCACTGGACTGCTAACCACAAGGTCAATAGTTCAAAGCTAGCACCAACTCCTAGGAAACCTCATTTTATTTAATAATAAAAATCTCTTATTTATTTGTTCCAGTAGCATTACTGAAAAGTAATAACAGAACACCAGATGGAAGCCGTAACTATCTGTATATCGTAACAATGTTATCCCAGCCCTGAGCCCCACCTCCTTAGGCTACACAGTAGATTCACAGGCATGTCATGAGGAAAAGCTGAGGGTAGACTTTCCATAAGACAGTCCTTCTCAGAAGTTAGGCCACAGGACTTGAAACACTTAACTAATGAAGGTCAAAGACTACAGTATGGATTATATCTCTACATAAAGAAGACAAAAATACTTACAACTGTGCCAATAATAAAAACAGATAAACATTTTCCTTAGATCCACAATCAACACTCTGGGAAGCAGCAGTCAAGAAATCAAAAAACATATTGCATTGGGCATATCTGCTGCACTAGACGTCTTCATTGTTACAGAGTAAAGATATCCGTTGGAAGCTTAACATAGATCTGCTCCAAGCTGTGGTATTTTCAATCAACTCGTATGCAAGTAAAAGCTGGACAATTCATAAGGAAGACTGGAAAAGAACTGATGTGTTTGAATTAGGGTGTTGGTAAAGAATAGTGAAAGTATTATGTATTGCCAGAAGAACAAACAACTCTGTCTTGGAAGAAGTATAGTCAGAATGCACCTTAGATGCAAGGATGGAGAGATACACACTTCTAACGTGTTATCAGCAGGGACCAGTGCCTGGAAAGACATCATGTTTGGTAATGTGGAGTGTCAGTAAGAAAGACAGAACCCCCAACAAGATGGAATGACATAGTGACAGCAACAGTAGGTTCACACATACTAACAACTGTGAGGAGAGCCAAGGGACCAGTCAGCATTTCAGTCTGTTTTCCTTGGGGTCACTCTGAGTTGGAATCAACTGGACAGCACCTAACAGCAAAAATAACATGGAAGCCATGCATTGTAGAATAAGTTATAAGTGGCTGATTATTAATAATGTCTGCACTTGAGTTTTGTAAGGATTTATAATTGGTTCAAGGTTAGTTCTCAAACAGGGCATAAGAGGCATGTATACCTATGGGGCGTAGCCAGGTAATACATGTTGGTAAAGCAGGCCTCCTGTTAGTGTCCAAACACACAGGGATGAGTGCAGAAACCCTGCATTTGGTTCCAGCCTGTCGGTGCCACAGTGACCCAGGGGAGCCAGATCACCCGATAATAAGAGAATGCAAAACATCAAATGCTTATATGAAATCTGCAATCATTACAGGTTTGCAACCCATTAAAAACTTTGTTATAAGGTATGGATGAAAACTTTATTCTGCCTTTGTGGCACCAATTCACAAATCTGGCCAAAAATTACATTATCCTCACAAATTTGCATTTTCATGTGCTTTCCTCTGATGGCAGGAAACGTGATGAAGTTAGC